CATTTAACTTAATTAAAGCCAGGAGGTCAGAAGGAATTGAAGATATGAATCTGATGGCATAAAGGAATCTAAATTCAGTATTAAATGTCAAATACGTTAGCGGATCAGCATTGAATAGGAATGATTGTGTAACGTTTCATTTAATGTCATTTAATGCTTATAATTGCCTCTTTAAGACTGAGACATTATACCTTTTCCTAGAAAAATCAACTATAAAAGGAGGAGATCTCAGTATTTGTAAGGACACGAAATATCATTGAGATTACATTGAAATACAAACTTATTTACTGCCTTATTATTCTCAAAAATTCCTTATTCTTTTCGTCTCCTGATTATCAGTAACCCGATTTTTTCTCTTAATTTCTAGTTTTAACCGAAATTTTATTTTTTGGTTAAACAAGGACTAGTATGCAAAAATATCTCGAAGGTACAAGTTAAGGAAAGAATTTCATTTAAATAGTTACTATTAAAAATTGAAAGAAATAAATAAAAATTGAATTTATTATGAAGGAAGATTCTCACAAAATTTAATCGGTTATTGCACAATTCAAACTTTATATGCTGAAAATATTGTTCCATCCATTAGATAAAAATTAGCGTAACTTTACGTGAATATTTTAATAGTATGAATTTCTTGTATCCAACGCTTTACACATCAGTTCACGAAGAATGAGACGTCCTAAACTTTAAGTTAAATTATTCCCCGCATCTAATATTTAACCAAAATAGAAAATATTGTATTTATAAATCTGTGAATGTTCTCTACAATTTTTTATTTTCTCTACACATCTCCACACATAAAATAAGTTATCAATACCCCTATTTATAATAGTATGAAACCTATTACTTGAAACAGGAAAGCCTATTCCTATATTTATTCTAACTGCAAATCCTATTTAGACATGAATTAAATAAATCAAATCCTAAATAATTAAGGTATCCTACTACAACTTTGAATTTGTTTTCCAACATTCTCCCGTAATTCAAAGTTGTATACGTCTGACTTGTTCGTTGTGCAGTTATGTTGGAGCACTTCTCTCCAACTTTTACTTTTGATGAAGCACATATTTCATCCCTCAATTTGTTGAAGCATCTGTCTCCAACTCACGTTGATGCACTTTGTCACCAACCGTTGATGCACTTTGTCACTAACCGTTGATACACCTTGTCACCAACATTCAATTTTGTTGAAGCCCCTGTCTCCAACTCCCGTTGATGCACTTTGTCACCAACTCCCAATTTTGTTGAAGCACCTGTCTCCAACACGTTGATGCGCTTTGTCACCAACACTCAATTTTTGTTGAAGCACCTATCTTCAACTCACGTTGATGCACTTTGTCACCAACATCCACTTTTGTTGAAGCACCTGTCTTCAACACCCGTACGTTGATGCACTTTGTCACCAACACTCAATTTTACCGAAACACAAAATCAACTTCCAATTTTTTAAACCTCTCTCCAACTTTTAGAGAAGAGTTTCTTCATCTTGTGCGATATTTGTTTGCACCTCTTAAAACTTATTTTTTTTTAAAAAAAAAATATATATATATATATATATATATATATATATATATATATATATATATATATATATACTGAAGGAAAATATTTTATTATAAATCTCTGAAAGCACTCTACAATCCTCCCAAATCTCCACCCTTCTTCACACATAAAATAAGCTATCAATACCCCTATTTATAATAGTATGAAACTTATTTCAACTATAAACAGGAAAGTCTATTCCTATATTTATTCTAACTGCAAATCCTATTTAGACATGAATTAAATAAGTCAAATCCTAAATAATTAAGGTATCCTACTACAACTTTAAATTAGTTTTCCAACAACAATGAAATATATTAGATATACTATATCTTTTATATATATATATATATATATATATATATTTATCACAAATAATATATATTGTTATGATTATTTTTAACCATTCAGATTTATTTTGATGTAAATAGAGGGGTAGTACCTAAAGTGTGAGGTAAGTCGTAATATCGTGCCTCTGACACAACCTGCCGGAAAGTAACGGCCAAATATCGTCAATTAGGAACACTCGAGGGCATATCACGTCCCCCTCTTTGCCCTAAAGTATATCACAAAATTGGTGGGACATTACGGCGTGACAAGCTCGTATGCATTGCTTTGTTTGTTCCTGCAAAAAATTGCTTTATAGGGTCTACTATATTCCCTAAAATGATAAAACCACTCCTCCTACTTTTGGCCTCCCCTTCAAATGTTCCTATATATTGAAGTTTTTCTTCTTCTTTTTTTCCATCTAAAAGTTTACTTTTGTACTAATATAAATTAGCATAAAATATCATTGCACTCGTTACACATTTCTAATACTCCTAGTAAGTAAATTTAAGTATGAGAAGATAGAAGCGCTGAGGGGTCGTTTGGTTTGAAGAAAAATTATGTTGGGATTAGTTATATTGTGATAAAGTTATGTTGAGATTTTGGTATTATTTTCTATTGGCTGTTTGGTATGTTGTATTAATTTTGGATTGTCAATTTTACTGTTTTATGCTATGATAGCTTATCCACATGTATAAGTTATTCCGATATTATTTTTAATTTGGTATGTTGTATTAATTCTGGATTGTCAATTTTACTGTTTTATGCTATGATAACTTATCCACATGTATAAGTTATTCCGATATTATTTTTAATACTGAAGTAACTTGTCCCAAAATTAATTTCCAAACTAGGGAAAAAACAATATATCCCAAAAGTATTTTTGGCTGTGTGATGAATTTGGGCATTCTCAAATAAGGTAAATTTTAAAGTGGATTGTTGAATTGACAGGAATGTTTGTCTATCCAATACAAATACCACTGAGTGCACTGGTCCACAGTCAAGTAGTATACTTTATCTTTTGTACTGAGAATTGGTTTAAAAAAATAAAATAAAATAAACCCGAGAACATACTGAGAATGTATAAAACATGAAGCCTTTTGTCTCCCAAATCAGAGTTTTGAGAAGTGTTATGGGCACTGTGACTGCATTTAGGCAGACATGGATTTATAGGGAACAGTAATGCCTCACCTTCACCAAGATTTTGACACTATCTATGCCTTTCTCTTTTTCCTTTTTCATTTCCTTAATCCTCAATTCCTATGAACCTATTCCCCAAAAATATACTACTGGTATATCTTCTGTATACAACATTCTATTTTTATATTTGGTTAATATACAATATAGAAATTAGGCACATAGTACTGTCTCATGGACAATGAGCGTGATTGTTGAAGGAACATATTTAATACAGTCAAGGACTTGGATTAAAAAAAAATCCTAAACTGGAAGGAATGGATAAGTAATTTATTGGTCATTGGTGGAGGGCAACTAGACACAAGGACATGCAGTGTAACTACATAGTCCAAAAATGAAAGCTGATTAAAAAAAAAAGATGGTGTTGTTTCTTTTAAGTGAAGCAATAAAGAAGGAGAGAGAGGAGAAAAAAAAGTGTGATCTAGAGAAAACAGAAAAAAAAAGAAAGCTGTAAGGTGTCACTTTCAGTATAGAAAAAGAAGTTTAGTGGTCAATTTGAGCTAAATAACCAAATGGTTGTAACTTGTAACTAATTAGTTACTCTATAAAAACTACTGTACTAAAAGGAAAAGTCTTGGGACAACAATACCAATAGCCCGTTTGGCCAAGCTGCAAAAATCAGCTTATTTTGAGAAGTGATTTTTTTCAAAAGTGCTTTTCTCAAAAGTACTTTTGGTGAGAAGCAGTTTGTGTTTGACTAATTAGTTTGAAAAGCACTTCTGAGCAGTAATTAGTGTTTGGCCAAGCTTTAAAAAACTGCTTCTAAGTGTATTTTTCTCAAAAGTGTTTCTCAAAAAAGTGCTTTTGAGGAGAAGCTACTTTTTTCTGCTTCTTCAAAACTGCTTCTGCTTCTCCTCAAAAGCACTTTTTTTTCCTTCCAAAAGCTTGGCCAAACACCTCAATTTTTGGCCAAAAGTGCTTTTGACAAAAAAAAAGTACTTTTGGCCAAAAAGAAGCTTGGCCAAACAGGCTACAAGTGGGATACCAAAGACTTAGGAGACAAAAGTACAATTCGATGTAATAAGTTTTCGCTATGCGCGGGTAGAAGAAGGATCGTACCACAAGAGTCTATTGTATAGAGTCTTACCCTATATTTTTATAAGAGGCTGTTTTTACGACCTCCTGGTCACATAGCAGCAACTTACCCAATTTCCCCTCCAAAGATAAACTCCCTCCGTCCCAATTTATGTGAATCTGTTTGACTGGGCACGAATTTTAAGAAAAAATGAAGACTTTTGGAATTTGTAGTCCTAAACAACTTAAAAAGGGGCCTAGAGTATTTGTGTGGTTATAAAAATTTCTCATTAAGGGGAGAATTATAAGTTTAAACTAAATTATTACCAAATTTAAAAAAGAATTATTCTTTTTAGAACGGATCAAAAAGGAAATAGATTCACATAAACTGAAACGAAGAGAGCAGAGAAGTGAAAAGAATTTTAGGGGGTAAAAATTGAACTAAGCTAGTTCTGGCCGAATGGCAAAAGGTAAAAGAGTTTTTGGATTGGTGATATCTGCTTTTTGGGCAGTACAAAAAAGTAAAAATAGCACAAGGGTAGCAGCAGAAGTTGCAGTACAGTAGAGAGAGAGAGAGAGAAGTGATGATGAGATTACAAAGACCTTTAATCTTTGTTACTGACCAAACACTGCAACCCATAGCAGTGGCATCAAGGGGGCTGTAATAAGGGGATCCTCTGCTCCTCTTAATTACTCTGCTACTGCCCTTCTTCTCCATCTATCACCCTTTCCTTAGGAGTAGTAGCAGCAATTTTTAGTAGTAACAAAATCACCACTTTTCTTTATTTTGGCCAGTGCATATAGTATTACAGAAATATATATACATAAGAGAGTTGCAGTCAGACATAGAAAGCTGTGAGAAAAATGGGTTAGGCTAATGTAGTGATGACATAAATATAAGCCCTTATTGTTATTTGTTGATGGAATTAGGAAAGTTGGATGGCAGAGCCTTTTGGGAGCAGAAGCAGAAGCATCAGATTTCAGAGTGGTGCCAGATACAGAACATCAAAGAAGAGGAGAGTTGTGAGGAAACAAAGCAGTAAATTAAAGTATAATCAATCAAAAGCTGGAACAAGAAAAGCACAACAAGGGTCTGAGTCTGGATCCTCAAAGGAATCATCATTATCATCCCAACCAAAACCAAAACCAAGATTCATCTTTAAGACATGTAGTAGAAGAGGGAAAACTAGAAGAAGAAAACCAAGACCCTTTAGAAAAAGAACCCCAATTTTACCTCTATCCTCAACAACAAGCATTTTTTCCACACCATCATCAGCTGCTGCCACCACAACCCCAGCCTCCCAAGAAACGTTCGTACTTCCCTTCATTGGAGCAAAACGTCGAACATGCAACAGTGGGAGAAAAAATGGGAGACAGTCAACACCAAAATCACCGAACCACATCAAGATTGGGCATAAGGAGCACTGTAGGCGAGATAGTAGAAGTTCAAGGTGGTCACATTGTAAGGTCTACAGGGCGCAAAGACCGCCACAGCAAGGTTTGCACAGCCAAAGGCCCAAGGGACCGCCGTGTACGCCTCTCTGCTCATACTGCTATTCAGTTCTACGATGTCCAAGACCGCCTTGGCTATGACCGTCCTAGTAAAGCTGTGGATTGGCTCATCAAAAAGGCTAAACCCGCCATTGATGAACTAGCTGAGTTACCCGCCTGGAAACCCTCACTTGGTTCTGTTTCTGTATCTGCATCTGCTGCAAACACTAGTAATCTTGAACAAGACCAATCTCAAGATGAGAACTTTACATTCCACCAAGAAAATGCTACTACTAGTTTGTTTGATAATGCTGCTGGCCCTTCTAATAAAAGGGCAATGGCAACTCTGCGGAATGAAACCAATACTAGTGGTAGCTTTCTGCCTCCATCTTTAGAATCTGATGCTATTGCTGATACTATTAAGTCCTTTTTCCCAATGGGTTCTTCAACAGCAACAAATTCTTCAGCTATGCAGTTTCAGAGCTTCCACCAAGAGACTAACAATATGTTGTCAAGAACCAGTATCCAGAACCAAGATTTGAGGCTCTCTTTACAATTTCAAGATCCTATTTTGCTGCACCACCAAAACCAGCACCCAAATAAGACCTATGCAACAGAAATTCTTCTTCTTCGTGAACGAGGGACTATCTTCGCGAATGCGGAGAACAAAATTCCAGAAGCCAAATCCTTCTTCGAACGCGAGAGGACCCTCGCAGACGCGAAGAACAACACCAGACACCAGCATCATCAGTTTCAACACAACCCGAAATGCTCTGAAACCACCCTAAAACACACCCGAGACACCCGGGATCCCGTCCAATCACATGACTCAGTCCCCTAACATAACACGGACCTGCTCGAAGCCTCAAATCACGTCAAACAACGCTAAAACCATGAATCACACTCCAATCCAAGCTTAATGAATTTTAGAATTTCAAACTTCTATATTCGATGCCCTAACTTATCAAATCACGTCCGATTGACCTTAAATTTTGCACACAAGTTATATTTGACATTACGGGCCTACTCCAACTTCCGAAATCGAAATTCGACCCCGATATCAAGAAGTCCACTTCCGCTGAAACTCCTCAAAACCTTCAAATTTCTATCTTTAGCCAAATGACTCCAAAATGACCCACGGACCTCCGAATTCACTTCCGATCGCTCTCCCAACACCAGAATCACCATACGGAGCTATTCCCAGACTTGAAATCCCAAACGGACATCAATAACACTGATATGCACTTCAACCCAAACTTATGAAATTCTTTCAAAAATTTCAACTTTCACAATAGGTGCCAAAACGTTCCCGGGTCTTCCAAAACCCGATCCGGGCGTACGCCCAACTCCGAAATCATCACATGAACCTGTTGGAACCTTCGAATCTCGATTCTGAGCTCGTTTACTAAAATATTCAATCTTAGTCAATTCTTCCAACTTAAAGTTTTCGAAATGGGAATTCTCTTTCTAAATCAACTCTGAACTTCCCGAAATTCAATTCCAACCACGCGTACAAGTCATAATACCTGAAATGAAGCTGCTCATGGCCTCAAACAATTGAACGACGCGCTAGAGCTCAAAACATCCGGTCAGGTTGTTACATTCTCTCCCACTTAAATATACGTTCGTCCTCGAACGTGCAAAGAACTGCACCAAAGTTGTCCAAAATCACTTTTTAACACCTTGAGCACCTACCCGTGCTACCACAGCTCAGTTGAGCATATTAACTCGATCAAATCTGAAGATATTCTCTTTTATTCAAACAAATAAGCTTAGAACCCAGTTCCAACACACGAAATTCTCTGTCAGGCCTATGTGCGACCTACGAATATCGTATCAATCAAAACACGATGCACCAGTATATAATTGCACACCTTTGCTGAATCCAGACTATGTGCTGCATAATTCACATAACCATAAAGTCACCCTCGAATAACGATAGCCGAAATTCCTCGAATATGATGCTCCCAAGGCACCGCATGACTTGTATAAACTTTGCCCCAACTTTTACAATACTACCACTACAGAAGAGATGTGTAGAAATCCATAACCAACTGCCGAGTCAACAAATCATTGAACAAGTGCTGAAAGTGGATGAGATCATCTTGACGTTAATCAGTTAACCGACGTAGACTTGGGGATGAGATCATCTTGACGTTAACGTACTTACGCTATTTATAACAAGCGATAAATAAGTGTTATGAAGGATAAAGGGGTACACGGATTAAAGAAAACAAGTTTCGTTGAAAGTGGCCAATTTGGAATAAAATACGGGTCGAGCGATAATACCCGATAATTATGAACTAGTACCATATGACTACGGTAGTATAATATATAAAGTATATATGAAGTATTTTAAAAATAAATAAAATTTTAAGTAATTTGTGATAATTTTTAAATTATGCCGATAATTAATTAATTATTGAGTAACGGGACATTACCCGTTTAACTAATAAGTGGATAAAAATTAACAAAATCACACTAAAAGGGACGTGGCAGCCCCCCATTTTAGTTTAAGGTGATTCATTAATCACCTTTACATGTGTCAGTCTAATTTACAAAGTCTTATCAAGACTCTTGTGAGCATTATCAAATAAAAATGATAAACACTTCATTCAAGAAAACAACCATTTTACATTCTGTCTTTGGTTCTTAAACCAAAACGTGAAAAGCAGAACCATTTTCCTTCAACAATTCAAGCTTCATCCAAACGTCCAAGCTTCGTTCAAATCACATCAATTCGTCCAAAAATTTCAACACCAAGCCAAGTTCATTCCAGTTTCAAGGAAATTCAGTGTAAATTTAGCAGAAGCAGATTCGTTCAAATAATTTTAGGAACAAGTATATTAAGGCTAAGTTCTTCCTTCATTTTGTATGATATCGTAATTACACAAGTTTGATAACGAGGCATAGAGAAAAATTAGTATACCGAAATTTACGTATATTTTGCTAGTCTCGCAAATTACATATATTTTCCTAGTTTTGTAAGTTACCATATTTTTCTTATCGGGACTGCATATTCAGTTGAGTATTTCCTTTTTCCGATCAGAAGAGCAGAGAGTTTACATATATACAGTATTAAAAGTAATTTCATTACCATCGAGCTATAACGATGGGCAGGCCTCTATAGGGCAACCTCTGATCAGATGGTAAGTTATATACCGAACCTGCTGTGGCCGAGCGCCTATGAGCGAGCCCAGTTGGTCGATATACAGAGCCTAGTATGGCCGAGCGCTTATGAGCGAGCCTACTATGTCAGAGCAGATATATATATATATATATATATATATATATATATATATATATATATATATATATATATATATATATATATATATATATATATATATATATATA